ATTGGCATTTGACCACATCAATTTGAGACCACCCCTTACAATGCTTAATTCTCTTTTGAATTCTGGCCATAAAGGGTCTGTGAACATTATGGAAAATGAGACTTTGGAGGTTGAGGTGGAGAGTATAGAAGCACATAAGACACACAAGAGAATTACACAAAGTATGGCATAAACATTTTTTAATCTACTGCATATTCTAAAGTCACAGACTGGCTCTGTATACATATGCCCCTTAATGTACATTTCACAGCTCTAGTTTTATTAAATTTATATCCAGTCCTTCCTCCCAAATGAGCCCAGGGTGACAAACATGCGATAAAACAAAAAACAAAACAAAACAAAACAAAACAAAAATTTAATACACCTTTAAAACAATTCAAATACAAGTGCACACCTGGTTATTTGAAAAGTTGTAGTTCTCCTGCATTATTTTCTTTTTGTAAGGGGGAAGCTCAGTTTATGGGAATGTTCAGTTTAAGTTTGAGAAATGGTATGCATTTACAACTGACTTCATTTTGAAAGCTTTCCCTGTTCATTCTTTCATAGAATGTTGAACACATAATATTCACAGGGCCTCCAGATAACATGCTCACTGGGACAGAGAAAGCAACTGCCTTGTTCTTTCCATTTCAGCTGATACATTTGGTATGAACTCCTGAGACTTTAGTTTGCATGCTACCTACAAGCTTTGGACTAAACCCTTCAGAAGCGGTTATGACAAGATCCTTAAATGCCTTAAAGAAATGATTGTTGTTGTTGTTGATATTATTATTTTATAGATGCCGTGAACTAAAGCATCACATTATAATCTGTGTCTTTTCTGTTCAACAGACATTTCTTTGCTAAAAAGGATAAGCTTATATGGCAGATAAAACAGAAGCAAGTATATACAACAAAGAGGTGGTTCCAATAGTCTTCAAATGAAATCTTGATATTTTCAAATGCCAAAGAGATGTGAACCAAGGTCAAAACCTTAGCAAATGATGAAAACTAGGGCACAACTTACCAGATGTGAACACCAGGGGACCGCATGCTAATGAAGGTGTTGAACTTCATAATTGGCGGCAGCAGCGGCAGGGGCTCACAATGGCAAACTGGTTTACCTCCATCTCCAACTTTTTATTACTTGAGCCCAAATTCAGCTGAATATTAGGGTCCGGCTAGTATGCTTCTCACTGCCATCACTTCCTGCTATCACAGTTACCTCTTCCCATAAAACATACTTGGTGGTGATAGTGGGAGTGAGAATGGAGAATTGGGAAGTTGTTTTGTAATGCCCCGATTCCTTCCCCCCGTCTGCCATTTTTATTATGGCAACAGTAGGAGCCTACCAATCAGGAATCCTGGAAACAGTTATCCTGGGTGCTGGAGTCCTTTGTGAGGATTATTAATATTAATAAATTAATTAATTACCCCCTTCGCAAGCAGATCCCAGGGTCGATTACCACAGATTAAAAGGAGCATTAAAACAATTTTAAAGAACTTACAATCACAAAAGTAGTGTGTGTCCTAAAAATATACATCTCAAGGGCCCAAAGTCAGGCTAAACATGAGCATCTTCAGCATTCACCACAAACTGTGTAAAGTGAAAGTATAAGGCATATGTCTGTGGGGAGAGAATTCTGCAATGTAGGGGCTGCCACAGATAATGTCCTCTCTTGGGCAACCCCTCCAAACTTTGGAGGGCAGCAGAACTACCAAAGTCCTCCCTCTACTGATCTTAGCATCCAAGAGGCTCCGTAAGCAAGGAGGCAGTCTCCCAGATATCTGGAGATTAAGTAATTGAGAGCTTTAAACACTAATGTGAGCACCTTGAAATGGGCCTGGAAACAAATCGGCAACCAATGCAGCTGTTTTAGAACAGGGGTTTATGAGCTCTAAAGGCAAGCACAACCACTATATACTGTATGGCCTCTGCATTTTGGAGCAGTTGGAGTTTTTGAGTCCTCTTCAAGGACAGTCCCATGTAGAGCACATTATGATCATCTAATCTGGAAGTTACCAGAGCATGGAGTGGTGTGGCAAAGTCATCTTTGTCCAAAAGCTAGAAAACCATCTGCAATTGGAATTAGGCACTCCTGGCCACTGAGGCCACCTGGGCTTCAAGTGACAACCGATATGTGGAACTGGTAGCATTTTAAAGACAGTTACAGTGGCTGTCCTGTTTTTCTATTTTCTGCATGGCAGCCTAAAAATTTCTTTCAGAATTTTTGGTGAGCAAGGGAAGACCTATTATACTTCTCCAGATCTTTAAAATTGGCTACAGCCTTTTCAAATCTGTTTTAGCCTTGTTACCACATGGTTCTAACTTAGTCATGCTAATGAAAACTTCGTTGAATCATTGATATATTCAACTTTAGAATTAATTTTGAAGAGTAGTTTTTAAATAAATACATACTGAGTTGGATTCAAAGTTTCCTGCTTCTGATAGAATGGATATTTTACCTTCCGGTGATAGAACATTCTATCAGTGCTGGGACTCTTTCCTCAGAGTAAGGGAACATCTGCTTCCAACCCTTTACTTTGTCATTTGGAGGTGCTGAAAGTTATCCTTGTGGTTTCTTCTAGTTACTGTTTCTATAAAGAGAACCTGCTTACTCCAAGGCAGCCTTTCCTCCTTTTTCTACATGTTTTTATTTTTCTTCTTAGTGTCATCACAGTGAAAGAGATCAGTTTTGCATGGAGAATACCATTAATAATGAAACGCAGTCTGTGTGCTTTTAAAAACTCTATTTCTTGCTTATAAATAAATGGTAATTTGTTTTAAAGCGTCATTGCACATAGTGTTCAGCCAGATCTCATGCTTTCGATTATTTTAAATAAATGTACCATAAATGGAACAAGTTCTTTCTAATTTGCAAATGATATGCAACATTTTTCAAAAAAGGAAGGGGGGGGGATAAGAGAAGGGAAGAAGAGGGGGAAAAAGAAAAACTGTAAAATTCCTTCTTAACTACTTCTCATTAATGGGGAAGTGTTCAATGACCTGTAAAGATTAAAGAATTAGTGAATTGGTAAAATTATCAGAATGAAAAATCTGTATAATTTTGATTTCATTTAAAAATCTGCTAAACAGTCTAGAGCCTTTAGAAAAGGATATTACTTTTTAATTTCACACTCACAAATGTCCTGGTATCAGTGTTACAAATGGGCTGAAATAAAGGCAACAAATAGTATGCTTAAATGTACAACATTAGAAGAGTCTGTTTAAACTCAGCTTTCCTCCCTCCCTCTCCCCCGCCCAGCCCATTTCATTAAAACAACTGAAGACATTTAATTAAGTGACCACTCTGCTAAGTGGAGCAAAAATTAATATACGTAAATGAATTTATGTATGGGTGATGATGCATAATTAAAAATACACTTCAATGAGGGGCTGAAGAGAAAAGGAAAACATTTTAACAAGATTCTTCATAAAGGCTACCATATCTCGAATTTTAAGCATGTCTGATACATATATCTTATGATACTAATTGCTAGTAATTTCTCAAGCGAAAACCATGCTACAGTTGCCATTCCATGCAACCCCAGACCTTCCATGTCTACTCTGAAGTAAGCCCCACTGAGTTCATTGGAACTTTATTCACAAGTAAGTGTGCCTATCATTGCTTGGTCTTCCCCATGAATATTTATTGATTCACAATGTCACCTATAGGAACGTGCTACCTAATTGGCTGAGAATGATATGCCAAGGCAAGCGGCCCAACCACTTATTTTCAAGCTTGAAAAGGACAAGGCAGAGGTGGGGTGGAGGGCCTGATATACAGCAGCTTAAGTCCATATTCCTCCAGCTAAAAACCAATATAAGCTTAAGGAACATGCACAGCAACAGTTTTATGCACATGTAATCTTGTTTGTCAAGTATATCCAGCTGGAGCACATAAATTCAGCCAACATTGAGCAAATGAAGGAGGATAGTGAATAATAGAGAAGATAACCAATTGAGTCTGGCAAATCAAAGGTCACAGATTTGTCCTCAGGTGCCTTAGGCTGAATTCACACTGCAGTTTTATACTGTTTCCCTGACGTTTCCCTGTTAATTTCTGCATTATATCTGAACTTTCACAAAATGTAAGAAACCACTTCCAGAAATATAGTGGAAAATAGCATGAGTTTTAGTGCTTATGTCTGTTATTTGCAAGCATTTTTTTTTCTTTTCTGGAAGCAAGTAACACAGAAATGAGTGCTAAACTTGTGTTATATTGTACCATGTAAGTGGTTTTTACATCATCTGAAAGCTCAGAAATGTTGGGGAAACGGAGATAAAAACTGCTGTGTGAATGCAGCCTTTGGAATCTCTTGATGCAGCTCTCTGCTTTAAGACTACTTCCTTTAATATGCAGCCTTTATTGATATTTTTCTTATATGTTAGCTTAATCTCCTGGGTGGAACAATATTTCTTTATCCTCATTACTATCCTATACTCCCTTGAACAGACTGGACACATTCTCTGTGTGTTTAGCTTTGCACAGGCATATGTAAATAACTGTCCAAGGCAATGAAGAATATCTCCCATTGTATCTTTTCCCCAAAGTTTGTAAAGAAAAGAAGAAGAAAAAAACACCACAGAAGGAAAAACACACAGAAACGCAGCAGCAGCAGTTCTCTAAATAGCACCACTGGAGACGCACATAGAATTGCTGGAAATGGGAGTAAATTTTTATTCCATGTCAGTCGTAACTCCAAGAGTTACAGCCTGAGCTCAGTTGCTCTTTAATTGGTTTTTTAAACAGTATTTGTCGTGATTTGTGTTTTACTTTTTTTTTATAAGATATTTATTAAGATTTTCAAAATATTACAATATAAAAGTGAAAAAGAAAAAGAAAATACAAAATAAAAATGATTAAAACCACTCAATTTTTCCATTACTTATTTTTCCTTAGCTTGTTTCCCGGACCTCCTCATACCTCCCTTTTTTGTATTCCAGTTCAGTTTGTTGGTTCAGCAAATCCTTACCATTAGATTTTAACCCATTTATAACCCTTTTTTCATATTCTCTTAAAAATATGGAACGCTTCATGAATTTGCGTGTCATCCTTGCGCAGGGGCCATGCTAATCTACCCTCTTTATTTATGCTAATCTTTGGTCTTAAAATAATAACATTAGATTTTTACCTGTTAACAACCCATTTTTCATATTCCCTTGAAGCATTACAGCTGGAAACCACTTAATTTCTATCCAACATCATTCTAACATTCATTAATTCTAACATTCATTAATTTTACAATATTTCTGTAGATAGTCTTTGAGTTTCTTCCAATCTTCTTCCACCGACTCTTCTCCCTGGTCTCGGATTCTGCCAGTCATTTCTGCCAGTTCCATATAGTCCATCAGCTTCATCTGCCATTCTTCCAGAGTGGGTAAATCTTGTGTCTTCCAATACTTTGCAATGAGTACTCTTGCTGCTGTTGTGGCATACATAAAAAAAGTTCTGTCCTTCTTTGGCACCAATTGGCCGACTATGCCCAGGAGAAAGGCCTCTGGTTTCTTCAAGAAGGTATATTTAAATACCTTTTTCAGTTCATTATATATCATTTCCCAGAAAGCCTTAATCCTTGGGCACGTCCACCAAAGGTGAAAGAATGTACCTTCAGTTTCTTTACATTTCCAGCATTTGTTATCGGGCAAATGATAAATTTTTGCAAGCTTGACTGGGGTCATGTACCACCTGTATATCGTTTTCATAATATTCTCTCTTAGGGCATTACATGCCGTAAACTTCATACCTGTGGTCCATAACTGTTCCCAGTCAGCCATCATTATGTTATGTCCAACATCTTGTGCCCATTTAATCATAGCAGATTTCACCATTTCATCCTGAGTATTCCATTTCAACAGCAAGTTATACATCTTTGACAAAATCTTAGTTTTGGGTTCTAACAGTTCTGTTTCTAATTTTGATTTTTCCACCTGGAAGCCAATTTTCTTGTCCAAATTATATGCCTCCATTATCTGATAATAATGAAGCCAGTCTCGCACTTTGTTTTTTAATTTCTCAAAACTCTGCAGTTTCAATCTATCTCCATCTTGTTCCAAAATTTCCCAATATTTCGGCCATTTGACCTCCATATTGAGCTTTTTCTGAGCTTTCGCTTCCATCGGTGACAGCCACCTTGGGGTTTTGTTTTCCAATAAGTCCTTATATCTTATCCAAACATTAAACAATGCTTTCCTGACAATATGGTTTTTAAATGCTTTATGTGCTTTGACCTTATCATACCACAAATATGCATGCCATCCAAATACGTTGTTAAAACCTTCTAAATCCAAAATGTCTGTGTTTTCAAGAAGCAGCCATTCTTTCAACCAGCAAAAAGCTGCTGATTCATAGTAAAGTTTGAAGTCTGGCAGGGCAAATCCACCTCTTTCCTTTGCATCTGTTAGTATTTTAAATTTTATTCTAGGCTTCTTGCCCTGCCAGACAAATCTAGAAATAACTCTCTGCCACTTCTTGAAACAGTCCATTTTGTCCACAATTTGCAATGTTTGAAACAAAAACAGCATTCTAGGCAATACATTCATTTTTATCGCAGCAATACGGCCCAGCAGTGAAAGCTTCAAATTTGACCAAATTTCTAAATCTTTTTTCACTTCAGCCCAGCATTTTTCATAATTGTCTTTAAATAAATTCCCATTTTTTGCTGTCATGTTGATCCCCAAGTATTTAACTTTCTTGACCACTGTTAAACCTGTCTCATTCTGAAACCTCTCTCTCTCCATTGGTGTTAAATTTTTCTCTAAAACCTTGGTCTTTAACTTATTCAACTTAAATCCTGCAACTTGACCAAATTCTTGAATCAGTTCTAAAACTCTTTTAGTACTAGATTCTGGCTCCTGTAACGTCAATACTAAGTCATCTGCAAATGCTCTCAATTTATACTGTTTGGCTCCGACCTGTATACCTTTAACCAACCGGTCCCTTCTAATCATATTCAGCAGAACCTCCAGGACCGATATAAAAAGCAGTGGGGAAATTGGGCAACCTTGTCTTGTTCCTTTTTCTATCCTGAATTCTTCCGTCACCACATTATTTACAATTAGTTTAGCCTTTTGTTCTGAATAAATTGCACTTATACCGTTTTCAAAACCTTGGTCTACCCCCATCCACTGTAGGTTCTTCTTCATAAAACTCCAAGAGATATTATCAAAAGCTTTCTCCGCGTCCACAAATATCAAAACTGCTTTAGTATTTATGTTCACTTCTAGTTTTTCCAAGATATCAGTTATATTCCTCAAATTATCGGACAAGTGTCTTCCCGGGAGAAAGCCCGCTTGGTCTTTATGAATCTCTTCCATCAATCCTTTTTTCAATCTCTTGGCCAAGACGTCTGCAAAAATTTTGTAATCCACATTAAGTAACGATATGGGGCGGTAGTTCTTAAGCTGAGTCTTTTCAGTCTCTGTCTTCGGTATAAGTGTAATGTACGCCTCTTTCCAAGACTCTGGTGCCCTTTTCCCTTCCAATATTTCATTGCAGACTTCCTTTAGAGGTTGTAATAACCACTCTTTCAAATATCTATAATATCTAGAAGTCAGCCCATCCGGTCCTGGAGATTTGCCTAATTGCATGTTTTGAATGGCACCTTCTACTTCCTGTTCAGATATTTTATAGTTCAACATTAGTTTACTTTCTTGAGATATTTTTTGTAATCCATTTGTCTCCAAAAATCGGTCTATATCCATTTCTTTCTGTGGCCCTTGTGTATATAGTTGTTTAAAATACCTCTGGAAACAGTTTCTAATCTCAGTTGGGTTATGTATATTCTTTCCTTCCACTTCTAAATTTGTAATAGTATTTAATTTTTGTCTTTTTTTCATTTGCCAGGCCAGCAATTTCCCACATTTGTTAGCTGATTCAAATGTTTTTGTCTCATTTGTTTAATTTTCCATTCTATTTCCTGATTCATCATTTCCATATATTGTACTTGATATAACTTTATTTCTCTCAAAATCTCCTGCGACTTTGGTTTTGCTCTCAATTTCTTTTCACTTTCTTTTATTTTCCCCAAAATTTTATCTTTCTTCTCATTTTGACTTCTCTTCTTTATTGCATTCTGTTGTATCAGGAACCCTCTCATAACAGCTTTACTTGCGTCCCAGATTACTCTTTTTTCTACATTAGTATTCATATTTATTTCAAAATAGTCTCTCAAGGTTTTTTGGGCCTTTTTATACACTTCTTCATCTCTAAATAAGGTGTCATTCATCCTCCATCTGAAGGAGCCAGTTGGTGTTAGTTTCAACTCCATCCTTACCGCATTATGGTCGGAGCAGGTTTTTGGGCAGATTTCCACTTTCTTTATCTTTGGTGCCATTCCTCTAGTTACCCATATTTGGTCAATTCTAGTCCATGTCATCTTAGCTTCAGAAAAGAAGGTTCCCTCTCTTCCCAAGGGGTTCTTTGTTCTCCAAGTGTCCACTAAATCAAAATTGTCTGTCATCTCAAAAAATGTTTTCGGTAGTCTACCATCCTTGGTAACTACCTGTCTTTGTGCCTTATCCATGTTTGTAGATACTACTCCATTCATATCCCCCATCAAAATCAAATTGTAATCCAGATAATCCAATAAGGTCTCATGCAACTTTTTGAAGAATTCAGATTTCCCCTCATTCGGTGCATAAATTCCTACTATCAAAAATTTTTCTCCTTGAACTTGAATTTCAATTGCCAAAAATCTTCCTTGGTCATCTTTAAAAATTAATTTTGGTGATAGTCTCTCCTTTGCATATATCACAACAACTCTTTTTTTAACATTGTCAGATGAGATAAACTCCTGTCCCAATCTCTTATTAATCAGTAGTTTCCTGTGTAACCTTGTTACATGTGTTTCTTGTAGACAAATCAAGTCCAATTGTTCCTTTTTGATTTGTGTTTTACTTTTGTACACTGTTTTGAGGGCTTTCAGCAGAAAAGGGTCCAATAAGTACGGAGTATGAAGAATAATAATGATTTCTAGTCATGCTAAAGTAAGATTACCAGATGTCCCCATTTCCCGGGAACAGTCCCCGGATTTACAAATCAGTCCCCATACAAAATCCATTGAAGTTGAAAAGTGTCCTCAGATTCATTGAAAAAAATCTGATAACCTTATGCTAAACGCTTTAGCATAATATCTGCTTAGCTGCCTCTTGCCGTTCTTTTGGTATATAACTACAGTGGTACCTTGGGTTAAGTACTTAATTCGTTCCAGAGGTCTGTTCTTAACCTGAAACTGTTCTTAACCTGAAGCACCACTTTAGCTAATGGGGCCTCCCGCTGCCGCCGTGCCGCCGGAGCACAATTTCTTTTTCTCATCCTGAAGCAAAGTTCTTAACCCGAGGTACTATTTCTGGGTTAGCGGAGTCTGTAACCTGAAGTGTATGTAACCTGAAGTGTATGTAACCCGAGGTACCACTGTATATTTTAGTTTGCATAGAATGCATGGCTTCTTCAGTCCCAGGCTCTGCTCAATTAAAAAAACAACAGAGCGCTCAAATATTTCAGTGATTCATAGCATTAATTGCAGCAGGTGTGGGAAGCCTGGGGCCTAGAGGGCAAATGCACCCCTTAGATTTCTCCATTTGGCCCTCAGGACTCACCTGTAACACACCTCTCACTGCCCCTGTTCTGTACCCTCCCTGAGGGCCTTTGCTTGATTGATATGTGTCCTTATGATGGGTAATGCTTCTTGCTCTCCTGGATGGAAGATGGAGAGAGTGAATGTTTGTAGAACCCTTTGACTTTTGTGTGACTGTTATTTAACCTACAGCCCTTGGGCTGAGAGATGTTTGCCATCCCTGAATTAGAGTTGGGCAAGAAATTTGGTCTTTGCTTACAATATACTGCTTGAGGATTAAAGAAAAAGAAAACCCTGCTGCCCTTTAATATTTATTTGTTTTTGCATTTATATCCCAGCTTTCTGTCAAGTTGTTCAATGTGATACACACAGTTCCCCCTTCATTTTATCTTCATCTTCTGTAAGGAAGATGAGGGTGAGATGGTAATGGTTGCCATCAATTTGATTTTAATCAATTTTTATAATGAAATGTTTTTAGAATATTGCACTATTTTATTGTTGTTAGCCGCCCTGAGCCCGGCTTCGGCTGGGGAGGGCGGGATAT